TTGAAAAAGTATTGTTGGGCAAGCAAAATGTTCATTCGAGCTGTTTGGATAGAAAATACAGAGAAATAAAAAGAGAAAACTCGATTGATAATTTTTTGTGCTGGCCATCATCATTAAATGTAATAAATGCATAAACCGCATCTAATTAATACAGATTTACGCTGCTCAAAATTAAATGTCATTGAGATCATGTAATTTTTTTTTTATATTAACCCTAAGTCATTACTTTTTTTCTTTTTTTTTTTTTAACATGCTTTCATTCTGTATATGTTGTTTTCAATGTTTAGATATATTCTTTATAATATATTCTTTATTATATAATGTATTTCAAACATTTTTAAATTGAATGAATATTCTTAGATCATGAGTTATGTAATAAATTTGAATTTGCCTCTACTAGTGATACTCAGATAGAATCAGGTTCAGAAAACGGTAGCTATTTTAAAAGATACTTAATTCAAGTATTATTAGTTATATTTTGATATTAATTTATATAGGAGCCACTACCATGCTTATGCAAGAGAAAACATAATAACCAACAGAATAGTAAGCAAATACCTACTCCTGTAACGCAAAAAAAAAAACAGAAAACAATTTTTGTGCATACTCCACATACTGTAGCTCAAGGTATTAATTTTCTATCTGCAAATTAATTTATGAAGAAAAGATTCTGAACATTTTTTTCAGTGATTTACACATTTCTTTGGTTGCTAAATTAATACATTTTATTTAACTTATAAATAATGTTTTATTTTAAATTTTTTGTTCTTGTGTTTCAACGCTTTTAGAAATTAATTAATGTTTGGTTCTTTTGTCTTTCTGATATATCTTTTTTGTTAGAAAGAGATGTTAGTAAAAACTCTTTCCAGTAATTAAAGTAATATCATGACAAATAGTTCTGGAATTTTATGGATGAACTTGCAGCAGTAATTTAATGATTATGATAACAGTTTAAATTTTTTTTTATTTTACTTCACCTCCTCAAGGCCGAGAAGGCAACTACAGACGAGGAGGCTACTTATTTTGTGGCTATAACCCTCTCTCAACTCTATAACTCCGAAACACGAACCTTGACGAACAAGGCCGCTGCGCAGAGAAACGAGTTGAGCGCGGTACTACCAGGGATGTGGTGGGGATCGAACTCGGAACCACTCGTTTATGAAGCGAGCGCTCTACCACTAAACCACTACCGCATAAGTTTATTAATTAAATAATTCTTGGGTGAGGTCAGAAGTGATGGGTTGTTTCAAACCATGACTTTTTTCCCTTTTTTTTTATTATTTTTTGATTAAGTATTTATTAATAACTTAACCTAAGTTAATCTACTTGTAACTTTTTATAAATGTACTATAAAAATAATGTGGTGTAGTTATTTTCTTAAACCTTTAGGTTAACAAACTTTCTAAAATTGGAGGTAAAACCATTAAGACAAATACAAATAAATGCGATGCAAAGGTTTGTAAAAGTAGTTTTAAATAAAAAATCTTTTGAATCTTTTTATTATAGTTTGTTTTAAACTTGTGTTAAAAATATGTGTCGCATATATTTTTAAAAGTTTGACGAATTCTAATCAGACATAAAATAAATCTTTTTTTTTTATGTCTGATTATAATTTTTTTTTGTAACTGTTTTCTTTTACTTTTGTATTTCCTTGAGCTAAAGAACAACCTTAAAGTACAAAGGTTGATTTGTAATGCGTACTTAACCTTTTTTTTTACTCTATATATACATACATATATATGTACATAAATAAACATACATATATATGTATGTATATATACATACATATGCTTATATGAATATATTATATTATATATATGTATATATATATATATATATATATATATATATATATATATATATATATATATATATATATATATATATATATATATATATATATATATATATATATATATATATATATATATATATATATATATATATATATATATATATATATATATATATATATATATATATATAAATATAAAATAATGGTGCAATTTAAAGTTTTTTATTTTATTTATAAAGTTGTACTTGATTAAAATAAATAAATAAAGATGAACATTTTGAATATTTATTGATTATTATGATAAATTATATAAAATATATATAAAGTATAAATATTTTGCAAAAACACTTTTATTTGCAATAATTGCTTCATTGAATTGTGGCATGCTTGCAGTTTATTTTTTATAGTTTCTGTCAACTCTGGGTTATTAGGCTAGATCCTGATAATCTCTTTCATAAGATCTTGCTTATTAGTAAGATTTTTTTTTCCAATCTCTTGCTTTACTATTTCCCAAATGTTTTCTATGGGGTTAAGATCATGCGAGTTGTCTGGCTATAGCAATACATCAACTAAGCCATAACAGTTTTTATTGTGTGGCAAGTTGCACCATCTTGTATAAATATAAGATTTTTGACATTATTTTTAAATTTTTTTGTCAATTTTTGACTTGTTTGGCTGGACATCATTCCTTCTTCTTTTAGCCTTCTACAAATGGTCCGGTCTGACACAACAATTACAGCTTCATGGATAAGCTTAGTGGCTTTTTTTCTCTTTTCCAGGCAGATATTTCTGATTATACTGTCCGCTCTTGGTGTTTTCTTGCGTTTAAAAGGTGGTCTCCTTGGACCAAACTTTTCCCCTGTATCAATTCTTTTTCTTACTTGCATTACGGTTTGGTAAGAAACCTTTGCGGTTTGTGCAATTTTTCATTGAGAATAATTTGTATTTTGTAAAAGACATGTTTATCAATTTTTAATGTAACTATAATAATAATAACAATGTATAATGCAGGTTGTTAACCAATGGTTTATAATCAAAATTTAATATGGCTGGCGGTAAAGATAAAGAGAAGTTTAAAGGAACAAACATTAGGTATTTACTTGTAAGTTAAGTGTAAAATTGTATATTTTTTAAAAATCACAGTTCGTTTTTTTAATGCTAATTTATTTTTTTAACTTTTTGATGTATTTGATGTAAATTACTCAGGCAATACCTTTTTTATAGAGAGCGTTTTGTCAATTAAAGTGACTGCTACAGTTGCCGAAATAAGAAAAGGAATAATGACTTTATTAAAATACGCACTCGACAGATCAAATGGTGGTGGTCGGCACGTAAAAGGCGGTTCACCTGATGTATAATATTCATACTTTTTCCTAGTTGTTCTCAATTTATCAATAATAACTATTGATAATAGTTATTATTGATAAATTGATAAATATATTACTGATAAATAAAACTTTTTTTTTTCAAACATTTGACTTTATTTGCATTGTATATAAAGTCCGTTGAAGCAGTTTAGTTGTATCTGAATAATTTACGTGAAATATAATATCCTCTGCGCAAATTATTGCTCGTTTATTGTATTATTTTATTGCAATTAAAGTTGACATAATTTTTTAGTTAATTGGATTTAACCAAAATAAAAAACAAAAATCAACGTTGAATTTACGTTGTTCAAACGTCTTATCAACTACGTATCAATCGAATATATCACCTATTCAAAGTTGAAATATGGTTGATATATAGTCGATAAGACGTTAGATCAACGTTGAAACGACGTAATCATCGACGTTGTTTCAACGTCGTAGTTTTCGACGTCGGATTTTATTTCCAATTCAACCAAATTTCAACGTTGTTTCAACGTGGTATATGGTCGGTTTGCGACGTTGTTTCAACGTTATTTCAACGTCATTGTGCCTGCTGGGCAATGTGGCCAAGGCCATACAGTTTAAAGTCAGATTGATTTATTAGAAAATTTATCTAATCCTTACCAAAAATCTTATAGAATTTTTGAAGTTATTTATTAAAACATTTTTGAATATATGTTATTGAAAACAAATATAAGCAACTTTAAGACCGCATTCTTTTTTTATCTTAGTTGTTGTTGATAAAATACGTTAAGTTAAATTTAAAATATAAAAAACTTTGCGGTAAACATCGCTATATTATTTCAAAAATTTCTGCAAAAGAGAGTCAATAATATTTATAAACTCTGCGTGACGTTCTTTATGGAGGCTAATGGCCATAGAGATAAAATTTAACGGCAGCCAACCTAACATTGGATTTTTTGGTAAAAGAATATCCCATTGTGTCACAACGGTTCCTATTACACGTTACTATCGTTTTATTCTATAAATAAATGCTCTCAAATAAATAATAAAATATAGATCTATCAACCGTGAAAAAAAAACTTGGCCACATAGTTGGTTTTAACGTGTCCAATTTAGAAAAATGTTTTGTTAAATAAAATCCGACAAATGGAGGTTTTTTATTCGCTACTGTGAGATCAACATTAGTATCGCTTTACAGTTAGTGCTATATCCTGTCAATCAAAAGTACATTTCTGATCTTACTAAATTCGCAGACCTGAAAAAAAACAAACATAGGAGATGTAATTTTCTGAGATTCTAAGCAGCACATACAAATAAATTATGCAACATTGATATTATAAACTTAAAATAAACTTATTATTACATAACCCGTATATTATAGCATAACATATATAACCCGTATATTATAGCATAACATATATAACCCGTATATTATAGCATAACATATATAACCCGTATATTATAGCATAACATATATAACCCGTATATTATAGCATAACATATATAACCCGTATATTATAGCACAACATACATTACCCTTATAAGTTATAATGTTATGTCATTTAACATTTCCTAATTACATAAGCTTATGAAATTAAGAAATGTTGCATAACATAACCCTTATATCATAAGTTATATGATAAGTTATGATAAGAAGATGTGATATTCTAAGGTTCTAAGCAGCAAATACAGTTAATTGTAATGGCGTTTGTAATGTCTTTGCAAATACCATAACATAAAGAGATATGCAATATATTTCCTATTTAACTAAAGAAATAAACAATTTACATGATGTATACTGTTCATAAATTTTAAAAAAACTAGCTGCATATGTTGCTTAAAATTTTAAAAAATAAGAAATAAATTGAATACTTTTTTTTTTTTTTTTGATATTTAGATTATTCCAAACGATTTTTTATAATTCAACAATTATAAAGTCAATTTTATAATAACACATTTTTTTTTTTTTAATCTGTCTGGATTGCCCAGAATTATTTATTTAAAGACTAAGGGTTTTTACTTATTTTTTTAGTTTTGGTGACATTTTAACTTTTGAATGACTTTTTAACTGCTATTACATTTGACTTTGAATTTTCCATAGTGATCAAACAACTATAAGAAAACAAAATACCGCAAACTTTTTTTTTTATCTGTTGGGATTGCGCAGAGTCATCTATTTTACAGACTGAGGATTTTTACTTATTTATTTAGTTTTTAAAAATAAAATTTTGGCTTATATTTCAATAACACCATGCAAATATGCATAAAGGAATCATGGGGTCCAAATAATACATCATTTTGAAATTATTGTATAATTTACAGACCTGTCAGTAAATTACTGCAAAAGGGTTACACTAACCAATTGGCATATGGACTATTGAATAAATTTGATATATTTGAACTGTTATTACA